TACTTGAGGATATGGTTTAAAGGGGATTAGGAATGGTTGGACTTGATGATCTATAAGGTCTTTTCCAACCTAGAAATCTATGAATCTATGAATCTATGAATCTCTGATTTGTACTTTGTAAGATCTGTAAATCTCTCTCTCATGTATGTTACGTTTTTGTCGTCATTCTAGGAATGACAAAGACTGGAAAGAATGCCCTGATTATATCACTGCAGGAGAAAATAGCTGTTACTTCAACACATCCTACACCTCTATTTGGATACCGTATTGTGTGAAGCTTGCCCATAAAGATGAAGTGTTTGATGAGAAATGTTTCAGCGTTGATGAAATAGGTATGCTTCCATTATGCATTTTACCTCTATATTTTTGTATCACAATAGGTGTGATGCTATAAACTTTAATATTACTCATACTATATTTAAATTTAACCCCTCAGAAAGGTTAGTTTCTAAAAAATATGATATATAGGAAAGGATTTGGGTTTGTAACGTGTAATGTGATCCACACCAGAAAATATTGCCCAGATTGGAAGAAAGCTAAAAGGGCAAAAGCAAATACATGACTTCTCTTTCTGCATACCAGTGATGTCTCAGATGCATGCAGATGAGCTTGCCTCTGCTGTAACTCTGAGCCCTTTCTAATGGATGCTACATACCCTTGTTCAGTGTGGGCAAGGATGGTTAAAATCTTGATTCTACGAAGTTCTGGAACAAATAGTTCTTCTTAATCTATAGAATCAAGATGTTTAGCATTTCTAAGCTAGAATTTATATTTATTGCAATATGAATTGTGACTGTCTGGGACTTGATGTTATTGCTTGTTCAGAGCAATGGTGTATGTGATTGATTTGTTCCTGCAAGTGACTAGAATATCCACTGTTCTCTTTTCTGCAGCTGAGCAAAATTAGAATAATTTTTCAGAATACCATAGTTTTTCAGTGTACTTCTATATTAGTTATTAATAATATTTGATTTATCTTTCTGTGTTACTCCAATTATTATTTCCAGTAAGAACTCTAAGTGTAAATTTTGATGAAGAATTATTTAAGTCTCGGTATTTTATAAGCTGCTATTGGGAGATGTAGTGTAATCGGCAATAACATTCTTAGTCTTCTTTATTAGTCTCTCAGGTGAGATTTGTGCAGTGTATCTGCTGCCAATGGCAGGGTGCCTTCTTGTTACCAAACTTGCAGTGACTTCGTCATTGGCTCACAGCAAATATGTGGTTAATATGCTTTTTTTAGTCCTGAAATTATTTAACAGTGTGTTGTAAGTATGATCTTTTCACAATGAAAACTGGCTGGTTTATTCCAAATACTCTGTTTAAACAGTACTACCTGATCCTCCTGTCCACCTTAACTGGACTCTGCTGAATACTAGTCAGACTGGGATCCATGGGGATATTCAAGTAAGATGGGACCCACCACCAACAGCAGATGTTCAGAAGGGATGGATTACTCTGGAGTATGAATTGCAGTACAAAGAAGTTAATGAGACAAAATGGAAGGAGGTATGAAGCAAATGTTTATCATACAATGGACACAGTACAGGACAGGCTTGTTCTGTCCCTAACGCTTTTGTACTACTATGAAAAGCAACAGGTTTGTAATTGCTAATTAGATGATGCCTTAAATCTTAAACAATATAACCATATTCTTTTCCAGTTTTCTAGCAAGCATTGTAACTTTATGTGTCAAGATAGTTGGCACTCTGGATTGTAATAACAAGCCCTGAAATCCCTGTGTTAGATGAGAAAGTATAGCAGAGTCAGATACATACAAGTTTTTTTCAAGGATAAAATATTTCTCTATTGTTTTCCTAAACCTCAGCATGGTATTTTTAGTAGTTGGAACAGGAATATTTTGCTTGGAAAACGTCACCATGTCTGTGTAGATTCTTCAGAGTACCTGTAAAGTTCTAATATTTATAATTATCATTTCAGTAGATTAAAAAAAAAAAGAAAAGCTTTGTGTTATAATTCAAAATTTAATACAATAAGCAAATTAAAATAATTAAAATAGATAAGACATACAGATTTCATACCAGACAGCAATGGGAAATTGCTGACTATGGAGATAGTCCATGAAACTATAAAATACATATTCTGGAAATCTTTTTAATTTTCTTTTTGAAAATCACTTAACTTCTCACGTAGTTAGTTTTCCTATGACAGGCAAGAAATTGTACCCAGCTTACCTGGATGCACAGGCATATTTGCATATGGAGGACTTCCTGAATACCAGTTCAGTGCAATGAGAACATCATTTCAGAGCAGAACCCTTCCTTTGCTTTTTTATTAATGTGAACTGAGCTCACTGACAGAAGGAAAGCAGCTAATACTGTTATGAATTTGTCTTAATCTACAAAAGGCAAATTTACCGATTGAAACAGTCAAACTGGTTTGCCTGCCTTCATCTATGAAAGATATTGGACGCCTCCTCATCTCTAATCCTTCTCAATGTTAGCATCTTCCGTTTATCCTACTCCTCATTAGTAAGTCTACAGCTAAACAGCCTATAATGTCTATAACTTTTTCCTAATGCTTGTCTGAATTTCTCTCTATACTGGTTTAAGCTGTGCTTACTGTACAGCCTCTATATTTTAAAGCCTACAAAGTGAGTTAAGTTTAGGCAGTAAATCAATACTCCTTAAATCTTGAAAATCTGCAGAGTATTTATGGGATTTACAAAAGCAGGTGGCAGTACAGGTAACTCTTTAAAAATGCACATTTTTTTTATTTTTTTATAAGCCTTCGGGTATCAATAGCATAAATACCCCAATAAAGCTTTGTTCTTGCTCCAGTACCATCAGTAATTCCAGCACGCCTTGAGAATAGTTCTTCTCAGGAGAGCAAAGGTTTGAAGATCAGCATTCCTTCTTTCAGAAGACGGATGGGAATTGCTGAACACTATACTTGCCTCAAGAAAAATAGTGCTGTAGATTATGTTGTAGTGCAGCTGTATATATTTTATGTTATTGTCCCTTTAGCTTAAAAGCACGAACTTGGCATGATTCCCTGAGACGCTATCAGAGCACAAAAGAGAATTTCTGGACAAAATCTTGATCTGGCCTAAGACAATGGCAAAACTCTGATTGAAGCAAGAATTTTATTCTTTGCTACAAATATCATCTGTAATGAGTGTCAAAGCAGTACAGAAATGTCTAGTTATACTGTTATTGTTAGATTTTTACTCAAAGGATAATCTTTGACTGCTTAAATATACCATAATGCTTTGTACATATAACTGATACAGAAAACTGATACAAAGATTAATTTATAGTACTTAAATTGCACTAAGTCTCCCCTTAGTGAGATTTGTTCGTCATTTTTTTAGATGTTTTGGGATTTTATTTTTCATATATAGCATTCATTTTTTTCAGCCCATTTACTAATTGAAAATAAGTAACATATGAATGAAGGAGAGCTCAAACATTAATTAGTAAAGTATCATAACAGAAAACCACAGTGATAAAAGAATCAAAGTTATTTTCTGAGAAACTTCATAAAAAACAGTAAAATCCTCACCATCATATGATATCATAGTGGGGGTTTATGATACAGAGCCAAAGGTAATCTGGCTCAGTTTAGAAAAATTTCATCATTGTTATTAGCTCCTTGCTGCGTATCTTTTTAAAATTCTACCCTCTTATCTTGACGTGTTACCCATTACATTCACAAGACTAAAATTCTGCCCTCTCTTATGTCTATCCAAGTTTGCTAGTCATAGAATCACAGAATGGTTAGAGTTGGAAGGGACCTTAAAGATCATCTAGTTCC